TCAGATTCTGGGTACCACTCGCAGAATAACAGTTTTGTTAAGAGGAATGAATACAAACAGTTCAATTTCCATACTTCTAGCATTACCAAAGTTCCTAAAACTGGGTTGGGCTCCTCTGCAGGGTTAGTTACTGTTGTTACTACTTGTTTGGTTTCGGTATTCAAGACAAGTCTGGACGTTAACTCTTCTGAAGATCTAACTGTCATTCACAATCTTTCCCAAATTGCCCACTGTCAAGCACAAGGAAAAGTAGGAAGTGGGTTCGATGTTGCCGCCGCCACTTTTGGTTCTATTATCTATCAAAGATTTGATCCAGCTTTAATCACAGGCCTTCCAGAGTCATCCTTAGCGAACAAGGACTTATATCAAGAGTCATTAGCTGTATTGGTAAATAATACTGACTGGAAAATCAAGAATGATCGTGTTAGCCTTCCACAAGATCTTAGATTATTCATGGGTGATGTGAATAGTGGTTCTGAGACTACCAAATTGGTCGCCAAGGTCAACGAATGGTATAACAGTAATCTTCCTGAGAGTTTAGAAGTATACCATAAGATTGATGAAGGTAACTTGAAGTTTATTGAAGGTATGAAAGAACTAAATAGGTTATCTAAGGAAAATAGTGATTATTATGCTGGATTATTAAAAGATTTGAGCTCTGGTAATGATTTCAGTAAATACCCAGAATTATTGAAAATCAAAAAGGCAGTTGAACAAATTAGATCTAATTTCAGAAGAGTCACTAAAGAATCAGGAGCTGATATCGAACCGCAAGTTCAAACTGAATTGTTAGATAAATGTTTGAACATCAAAGGTGTTCTAACTGGTATGGTTCCTGGTGCTGGTGGTTATGATGCAATTTCATTGATTACCACTAAAGATACTAATATAATTGAAAGCACAAAGGACAATAAAGATTTTGCTAATGTTACATGGCTAGATTTGAGACAAGCAGATATTGGCATAAAAGAGGAAAACCCAATTCATTACACTAATTTGGTTTGAACAGAAGGTAATCGATCTGTTTTGTTTCCTTCACTTAGATATATTTCCTCAGATTGCCCTCTTTTGTATATTAGTCAATATCTGTTTCAATTGCATGCTCTTCTAAAAAAGTTGCATATTTGTTATAATAAAGTTTTTATACAGTAAGGTGTTTATATAGAAATGCATACATCTAAAGAATAAAAGGAAAAGAAATAAAAGTTGTTGTTTCGCATATGTAATTATTCAATTGTCCACTTGATGTAACCAATTTATAACTTTTTTACTGAACCCTTTGGAATTTGGAACGTAATGTCCACCAGGATGTCTAATTAAAGTTCTTGTCCCCTGAGAACAAGAGTTGTAAAGACCTTCTACTTTATCGAACTCAGTTATAGTATCAAGTTCACCTTGAACATGTAATGAAGGTACAGTAATTGGATGTTTATCATATTGTTCTTGGTAAATTTCAGGACGGAATCTAAATCCACTAAATGCAATGAAGAACTTCAAAGGCGGTTGTTCTTCAACAGATAATCCCAGCAACCCATTGAAATCGGTCATCAGATACCCAGCCACACCAGCACCTTGGCTAAACCCAACGATACCATGAAATGGACCATTATCCAACACATAATCATGTAAATAATCAATAGTCTCCTTAGGCAAGAAATAACTATTATTAACCAGATCATTCTCGATCCAAGCTAAAACAACCCCTAATGAACCCTCTAAGACTTCACTATAACTATCAGGTATATCAGCTGGCAAAAATTCCTTGGGAGCAGTAGCATAACTCAATTCATAACCTTCTTTCTCTAACTCGGTTCTAAAACCTTTAGTCTTGGATGCAAAATATTCCCCCGACTGCGCCAGTCCATGCAACATAAGAACCCTTTTCACCATTTTTCACATCGACAATTCACTATTTCACCTCCATTTCCTTTTGAAATCACCCACTTCATGAGTTATCATCAAAACTAATCCTTGACTTCCTTCTTTTAAGTATCGTATTATATCTCATCTCATCTCGTAATAGTGAAAAATTATTATAGCGATGATTTAAAAGAATCATATTTTACAAATGCTAGACTATAACAATTGTAATGTTTGATTTAAAGACTATACAAGTAGATAGTAATAGGATCTAGGTGTGGTTTTGGAGTTATAGTTGGTCAAATTTGGTCTGAGGGTTTTTTTGGTTCAAGAAGTAACGATTCCTGATTGTGAACATAAGATTGAAGCAAAGAAGATAGGTGACTTGGATATATCATTTTGATTTGAATCTGACTTTGAAAATTGTAACTGGAGTTGGAATCGAATTGGTCACCTTTGGTATTAGTGAAGTTGGCATTGCATTTTTTGGCAGGTTTAGTATGAGCTCCTGTTCGCATATTGATCAAGTGCTTTCTAATGAAAGTTTGAAAGAAGGGTTTTTGAAAGCATTTAATGCGACAAAATACATTATACAACACTCACCTGCTAAGAATAAATACTTGAATGTGATGAAATGTGCTGATTGTCATCAAATTAATGAGGGTACTAACTTTATGTGTTTGCAATGTGGCTACTGTGGATGCTGGAATAATTCACATTTTCGTGAACATAATTTAAAAGTTGATCATGTATTTGGTGTAAACTCGACAAATGGGCTACTATACTGTTTTAAATGTGACGATTATATAGGTGATAGTGAATTGATCAATGCCTCTATTATTGGTAAATATTGGGATGATGTGTCTTCCAAGTCTTGTATTCCATTAATGTCAAAAAGAGATGGATTAAGTGGATTGGTAAATATGGGTTCAACCTGTTATGTCAGTTGTATCATACAATGTTTGGTTAGAAATCCTTATTTTTTGAAATATTCATTGAATCAATCTCATTTTAAAATTTGTAAGACTCATGACCCAACTACTTGTATTTCATGTGCATTAGATAGCATTGTTACAGATTTCTATGGTATATCAGACCTAGATGATGACGTGAAAAAGACAAATAATGATGGTTTAATCGATTTGTTGACTTGTTCATGGAAAATAAATCAAAATTTAGCAGGTTATTCACAACAAGATGCACATGAGTTTTGGCAATTCTTATTGAACAGATTGCACAGTGAGTACAAATCAAATATTGGTCCTACTGACACTGCTCCATTGAAAGAAGGAAACCATGAACTATGTAACTGTATTTACCATAAGGTATTCCAGGGTTTTTTGAAAAGTTCTATAGTGTGTCCAGAATGTAATAGTGACGCTAAGACAACCATTGAACCGTTTATGGATTTGTCATTGGATATAAAAGGTAAAAATACACTATATGAATGTCTAAACAGTTTCCATAAAAAGGAGCAATTACATGACTTCGATTACCATTGTAAGAACTGTAACACTTCACAAGATCCTACAAAGCAACTGGCAGTGGCCAAACTGTCGCCAGTATTATTGTTTCAATTCAAACGTTTTGAGCATTTACTAAGTGGTAGCAGTATTAAATTAAACGATGTTATAGAATTTCCACTCTATTTGAACATGAAGGACTACTGTGATGTGGAACAGAGAGATGACAGCAACTCAAAGCCGGATTTAATATATGAACTAATAGGTATTATATGCCATACAGGTACCGTTAATGAAGGGCACTACACAGCAATTTGTAAAATACCAGAAGGACAATGGATAAAATTTAACGATTCAATGGTTACAATAATATCTGAGGAAACAATGTTAAAGGAACAAGCATACCTATTGATATACACTATAAAAAATATCAACTGATTCAAGATGGCTGCTCGATTTCTTTTTTAACAGTACTAATGATTATTATGTATAATTTATAAGTTTAAGCATTAATAAAAATAACCATATTTAATAATAATAATAAAAAACAACAATATTCAGTAAATAACAGACATTTTATAGTTTGTTAGGTCAAGATTATATCTGTTTTAGGTGGTTACCTTGTTCCTATAGTTACCAAGAGTAACCATATGACGTTTTTAATATTTTCAATATTAAGCCATGAGATGAAATTGCTCACATTTAAAGGATTCTTGACTATATAAATAGATGAGACGAATCTTGAACGATTCAATTATACTTCTTACCAATCTAACTAAAGTAGCAATAAATATATTATAAACATATAATCCTATTATGTTACCTAGAATATTAAAGACTCAATTCAACTTTAATGCAAGAGTCTCTACTAGACTCTTGTCAAGCAAGACTGGCCCTAAGATATATAACTTTAAAGAGATCAAACAGATCGTTGAAAATCCTGATCAAAATACTGGTAGAGTATTAGTTGATGTGAGGGAATCGAATGAGTTGAGTTCTTATAGACTGCCAAACTCTATTAACGTTCCATACAACAGTTTCCCAAATGCCTTTGGTTTCACTAGGGATCAATTTCAAGAACAGTTTAAAATAACTAAACCAGAAGATGGTAAAGAGTTGGTATTCTTCTGTGCCAAAGGTATCAGAGCATCCAATGCTGAGAAGCTTGCCAGGAGCTTTGGTTATGAAAACACAGCTGTATATCCTGGTTCCATTACAGATTGGTTGGCTAAGGGTGGTGCTGATGTCAAACCTAAGAAGAAAAATTCGAAGATGTTTATCGATACATGTTGATTGTTAACTTTTATGTTAATTTTATATTAAATTAATTATATATTTCTGTTTATATATTCTTTATTTCACCTTTGCTTGTGGAATTCAAATTGCTTAAATTCTTTACCCAATTTCTTCTTTCTCTTTCTCTCCATAACCTTCTCACGTTGTTTAGCCTTCATATGGTCAAATTTCCATTTCTGCAATACTTTACGTTTCTCAGATTCCTTTAGATGATATCTATTTTTATTTCCCATGTTTATCTTTTCTTCATATTCTTTGATAACCTTAGATTCGAGATCTCTGTTCTTGACGGTTTGTAATCTAGATTTCATACTTTTCAAGTTTCCTTGCATATCTTCATATTCTCTGTCACCTAATTTATTGACAAACTTACGATCTTTTAACATACCTTCTAATTCGTCGATTTCTTTCTGTCTATATTCATCTAAGAATGCATACCTTTTCCTTATGGAATTGACGTCTATATCGTCACCAGTAGATTTGTCAAATCTAATGTCTGTGTAAAGGTTAGATTTTGGTCTAGATGTCTCTAATCCAGGTATTTTTCTTATCTTTGAGACTCTTTTCTTTGAAGAGTGTTCTGTTGGTGCATGTTTATGTCTGCTCTTATTCTTCTTTTTAGACTTGACACCTATTTCATCACCACTGTCTTCTTCAAAAAATCCACCTTCATTATCACTTCCGCTATCACTATCACTATCACTGCTATCATCTTCAAATTCTTCCTCCACATACCTTTTCTTGGATACTTTAAGTTCTTCTTGGACTTGTTTCCTCTTTCTTTCATTCACCATCTTCTTGTCTGCTTCTTCCTCACTGTCCTCACTGTCTTCATCCTCCAAAATGGCATCAGCTTTCTTCAAAGAACCAAAAGATAATGTTTTAAGTTCATCATCTGTAGATTCGTCTTCTTGTTGAGTATTCCTAGCTAAAACTTTCCCTAAATCATCCTCTTCAGAATCTGATTCTTGTCCAGGCTTCAAATTTTTGAAATAATAAGACATGGCACCAGCACTTTAAACAAATATACACCCTCTAGACAACTTGATAATCTAACGTTAAACCTCTGGGATCCTCTTTTGTATCGTACCTTGTCTGTCTTTTATTAATCAACTATGTTCTTAAACAAGTTCATCTCATCTCATCTCATCTCATCTCAATAATTTTTCACTATGAAAAATTGTTCAGCATAGTATATTAAGAGACTAAGCAATGATCCAAAACTGGATGGTAAAATACAGAGCACTAAACAACATCAATTGCAAACTTTTAGATTTATTATATCAGTGCATCTGCTTCAGATCTGTTGGATGATGTTAATCTTGTCATGTCTATTAAATAATTAGTGAAATACTAATAAACTTGTACTAATCTATATGTAAGACTATATATATTTATATGAATTGATATTTACATGTGATAGATGAAAAGGGTAGTGAATGAATATTAAAGCAAGCTACTGTATCTTGATATCATTGCTTTTCAATAGTTTCCTTCAATTGTAGACGTCTAGAATGGGTGTCGAAATAGTTAGAAACTTCTTGGAATGTCATTTCACCTGGATTGGTTTCCATCTCTGTTTTATCTTTAAATGTGACTTTTAATATTGGTTTCTTTGTTGAACCATTGGTCAATAGTTCATTTTGAATCATTGTGCCTTGCATTCTTTGCAATGGGGGTATCGCACATAGAAATAGTCTTGCAGTTTTAGCTATCAAATTAAGGTCGATATGTTAGTAAAATGAAATCGTTAACCAAAAAGATGGAAGAAAATATAGAAAAGAAAAGCACAAATAAACCAATACTCTACATCAAATACATACCTTCTGCGCCAAATGGATTGAACTTGACCACTATCTTGGAGAAATATTTTGTTATCATTGTTAACTAGCTCAAAATTTTATAACCAGTCTCTAAAGTATTCTGAATTTACCAAAAAGGTCCTACAAATCTCAACTACTGGGTACCTCGATCACCTATGACCCAATATCACTAGTCTACAATGCCATTAAACAACCTTTAAATCCTATCTTAAACTATATAGTTTTACTTTAAGATGATATCGGGATGGTTGTTAAAGCCATTTTTCATTATGAGATATCGATCAAGATTCGTCGTATTGACGTATAAAGGACAAACGATGAGATATAAACCTAAGAATAAGCATATAACTATTGAAGATGGTGGTTATATACGTTTATTTAAGTATGGATGTTGATCCAATTAATGAATTGTGGTTTACAATTCATCATGATTCTTACGTTTCCCAGCTTTCTTGTTTTTTTTGGATCTCTTCTTGTTAGTTTTCACTGATTCAAGATATTTAAATCTCTTACTTAAAGGTCCTTCACTAGGTTTGACGTTAATTGTATCTATAATGAATTGACTTATTCCTATTTTTGACATATCCTCACCTTCATGGACATAGTATTTATCATTCTCGATGTCAAAAAGAACAAACATGCTCTTGTTATTATTCTTTTGGGTTGGGATCAATTCTTGAAGGTATGCAGCAATATTTGGGTTTGTTTTGGAGAGTTTTGAATCGATAACACTCTCTTTTAGTTTATCATTTGGGATTGTCGAAAAGTTTATCTTTCCTAGCCAATCTAATGCAATGCTCTTTTGAGTTGGTGATACAAGATTCTTTTTGGAAAATAACACACCATGAATTGGGCTGGTTCCATTTTGCAAATAGGATTGCAAACTCTTTATCGAAGATATTTTCTTGACATAATTCTTCACTCTTGATAGACAGAAATCAATAATTGGGGCCAATTTCCTTTCTCCTCTATACATCTCATTGGCATGATAATCAAAATTTAATCTGTCTTTTGGGTTCTTTGTTAGATCAATCTTAGGTGGCTTGAAAACTAGCAATGTTGGGAACCCTTCTATTTTATAACTACCACATATCTGCTTGTTCTTGCCTAAATCACAATTTACAGCAGCTACTTGTACCAACCCATCCAATTTCTTACCCACTTTGTGCATTATCCCTTTCAACTGTTGACAGTAACCACACCATGGGGCATAGAATTCAACTAGAGTAGTATAATTGGTGTTGTGAACTACTGAATCGAAGTTACTGGAGTCTAGCTCCATTATATGTGTATCGGTAGTGTAAAAACTTGGCTGGCTACCACTAACATATCCAATCAAATTACCAGCTAGCCATAAAAGTAGAACCTTTTGCAACGACAACAACAGCAACATCCTGTAGATATAATCAAATATACCTTGTATCACACCTTTAGATGTACCTTTGGCTTTACTATACTTGCTGATTTCCTAAGTTCAATAGCTCTTAAAGTAGCCAACTGTTACTAATAAAAGTAATTGATTTGGAAATGAAATAAGATCTCTTAATTATGTTGCGATGTGGAACTTGAAGAGGAACTGTAGTTTTAGCCATGGATGGTGGTACTTTTGGAGTGAACACGTTGGAATGAAGGTATACAGGTGTGTCAGATGTTATAATGGTTGGGTGGGTCGTCTACTTTGGAAAGTACTGTTGATAACGTAAGACGGATGCCCTAAATGAACAAGAGGGTAGTGCTGAAATGATTTAGAATGGATTCGGTCCAAAACGTTGAGGGAAATGACAAAGGGTCTTTGTTATGTTATTATAGTTCATGAATGAATGAATGAATGGTAAAACATGTATTAGATTTTGTGCTCATTGAGATTTATTCTCTTTAGAATCCATGTCTCGCCATGTATGCAAATAGCTGTTCTGATTTTGTAGCAGAAGGTACTTCTACAAGAATTTCAAGTGATGTAAACTTCTTGGAATGATTAAATAAGGTCATTGGGCACCCCTCTCTATCGATCCTGTTCAACAAAGAAATATACAGTCATGACAGTCATGGGTAGCTGTCACTCTAGTTAGTTCCATAACGTCAAATATATGTGATATATTGTTTTGATAAAGCCCTGAAAGTATCCACAATTGTCATATTTCCATTGTAACTGAGTAGATTCCACGATATAATCATGGTTAGTGCACATTCCTTGTGATATTTTCGTTACATTCTGCTCAACTTGATCTGAAGCGTCGCAACGTAAATCCCATGATAAGTCGCAGGACGTTACATGCTGAATATAACACCTTGAATAGAATCATAGAACAACTCGCCACGAACAGAGCAAGAACTTTGGAAAGGTCATTAGAAGGTATATATAGCCCTACAGGGACCATTTTATGTCATCTCATCTTCCAAAGACATCACTTCCCATATTATAATCATTAGCTACGACACCTTTTCCCTCTCTCACCAAAACCTTTAATTCGATATTTCACCACACATTGAAAAAAGTGAAAAATTGCAAGCAAATGACAAGATATATTTGATAAACCAACAACAAAAGTAGTGAATCAGAGGTTGATCTTGAAGATATTTCGAGGTCTATAGGAGTGTAATACATTGATATTTGTTGATCCGGTCTTTTCCGTTTATTTTCCTGTGGTATAAGTAGTATAAACTGCACTTGAAACAGACATATAGCTGGAATTTGGGTCCTTTTGAATCTAAATTAAACTACAGTAATTATTTTATTAAGGGTTAGTCGTTAACTTTTCGATTGTGTGTTAGTTGCAACGTTGTTCTGTATATATCTTGTCTTTTAACTTTTGACTTTGAAATATATTGTTATTCTCATTACAGTTCTTTTATTTTGATTTAATTTTATTCTATTTGATACATAGTGAAAAATGGCAAGTGTTTTACCTCAGTTAGTGAATATTGAACACACACTTCAATCAAAGACTGTGGAGCAGATACGAGATGATATTAAGGAGTTCCAAGATGCTGTGGAGCTGAATTCAGAACAATCAGAGAAAATCCAGTCATACATACATGCTCTAGAGGACACATTTGATCAATTCACCAAAGATAATGAACATATCGAACGCAAGGACAATAATGTCACTGATGCAGATATACAGCTGTATACTGGTTTGAAGAATATGTATCAAGATTATTTAAAAGTTCTGAACCAATTGAAGCAGGATAAGGCTGCAGTTAGAGATGAAGTTGAAGCAAGCGACGATAAACCTGAAGAAAGTTCTGATGTACTAGAATATATTGTGAATGAATTGCCTTATCAGCAACCCACAGAAAGGAAAAAATACATCGATAATTTTATTCATTCGAAAGATGCTCAAAAACTTTCTAAATCTACTCAAGTTTTTGACGCCATTGTTAATTTATGTCTATTAGATTCCTCAATTAATGATAATCTGCGATCTTATTTCGCTTTGTTAAAAGATATAGGATACACACACGAAGATTTATCTTCAAATTTGCCAGGAGGGTTATTAGAAATATTGAACTCGAAATCTAAATCAAAGAATAAAGAGGGCAAGGAAAACAAAGTGATACAAGAGGACGTAGAAGAAACTAAAGAAAATACTGATAATTCACCAGTAAGTAATAATAGTGGTAATAATACTGAAGATGAAAAGAAAAAGAAGATATCGTTCTCTAAATATTTAAAGAAAGATACAGACGTTAATGAAAATGGTAAAAGAATTTCCAGTTCCATGGAACCTGAATCATCAAGTGATGACTCGGATTCGAAAAAGATCAAAACTGAAGATGGGAAATACATTTCCTCTATTTTAAAGCAAGTATCTGATCAGAATGGCAATGGCCAGAGTACTTCTAGAAAGTCTAGTAACAATATTAGATTCGTGGATGATTCAAAGTTAGTGACTGTATTTGGAGATGGTCTGCCTCAAAAGGGTGTCCAATTATCCCCAGATGAATTGAAAAAACTACTGAAACCATTCAAAGAAGGGGAACCAAGAGATTTGTTATCGTTAGAAGGGGTAATACCTAGGGCTCGTGAATTATCTCTAATATTAGGTCAGAATGAAGAAGATTATTCTGATGTATCAAGCCTAAAAGGTGGGCCTATTCCATATGAGACTACTATTCCATTGAAATTTAGAATCAATTTTGGAAACTTTAGTCCTGATTTGAGTAAGGGCGCTAGAGAACCAGTTCTCGTAGATGATCTACATGACAAATCAGGTAACCTAATTTATAAAGGGCCACTGATCGCAGGTGCTTTTGGTAAAAACAATCTACTTCTAAGAAAAGATAGAGGTGGTCTGCCATATAAAAGGGTTCCAGAAGTCCTGCGAAATGACTACCCGCCAAGACCCACTAATGACTAAATGGTAGCTACTCTTTTGTACTACTTCATTTTCTAGATATATTAGTATGTACTCAAAAATTAATCTGCATTTTCTCTTCTAATTTATAATCCTGTTTATTAAATAATCTATCTTATATATTAGTTAAATCTCAAAACTCCATGAATCGTAATTATTCAACCTTTGCTATATGGTGTGTGATAATATTACAGTAATCGCGATAGATAGTGTGTAAATTTTTTATGCATATGGTGTCATCAGTATCTTCAATCATACTCTCTAACTCTGATATAATGGTTCTAAAACTTTTCAATTTGCTGTTTAAAAATTCAACAAGAAATGCTTTGATCTTTGGTAAGAAGAAGTCTTCTGAAATGAGGCCATCCATGAACAACTTAACTCTTCTATAATCTTTGGTGCAGTATAAGCTTATGGCAACTAATGTTCGATAACTAATTTCATCTGTATTGATTGTGTAGTCCCCCCAATAATCGTGTTCTTGAAGGAACTCTTTGGCCCCATCAATTGTGAGAAGCAAAGTTTCTATATCTTCAGTTATATCAATATAGTTCCACTGATTTTCATTTAGAACAAATCCATATTCATTAAGTAGGAAATCATTCGAGTGTGCACCGTAATTGAAGAGTATCTGTTCTTCATGGATCTTATAAGATCTTTCACCAACTCTAACGCAGAATTCACCAATTCCAGAACCATTGATATTTGATTTCATAACTTGAGGATAGCAATGAACACCAACCTCATCAGTATGATTTATAAAATCAACGTATGGTACTAAAGTGAAATTACTAAATATGTCATCAGATTTAGTCGGCACCTCGCAATAAAGACACCTTGAATTGATAATAAAATAAATATGCAAATAATCTTCAAATATTTTATCTATTTCAAAAGTGCCTGGTAATTCTTGGATCCAATTCTCTATAACATTTTTAATTATATTCCAGTCTTTCAGAACTAATTTTGCTATTCTATCCAAATGATGTCTAGAGCAAGACGGTAAAACTTCTAGCAACGATCTATGATTTGAGTCATTGGATAATTTCCAAACTGTTGGTATCGATTTTAAATCAGCTTTAGATGGCCACACATCAAAGAATGGGGACCAATCTGACTTAATTTTATTATCTGACCACACTGGTAAAAAAATCCATTCTGACAGAATATACAATGTCAGCAATTGGAAAGAAGATAAATTGGACAGATATTCAGAGGTTAGTCTACCATAAGCGATATACCTTGGATCGTCATTTGAGTAAAATAGATCATACTCTGTCTGTTCACTGGCATTATCTTTCGAAGAATTTAGTTTTAAACCAGGAATTATAATGTTCTTATTAAAAGTAGATATATTCCATAGAACGGTGGAGTAATTCAATTGATGAGAACTTGGGATGGATATAAGCAACTCATTTTTCCTCAATTCACCTTCAGTCAATACTAGACATCGACCACAGTCTTTCGTATCAACAGCATTTATCTTACCAGATAGTGCAAAGGATCCTGAATCTCGCAGCCAGCTCAACAAGCTCTCAATATTACCTTCCATCTTAAACAAGTTGATACATACAACCGACTACATTCAGTATCGGTTCGAAGGTCAAGTTGTGCTTGTCTAGCAAGTTCTTGTCTAGCTTATACATAGCTAATGTTCTCATTTCAGATCAATTATATTAGCTCATCGCATTTTTTGAAAAATTTCTTCATATTTAAGGTACTAAGATAGAAAGGTATAAGGTTTATCTGTTGGGAAGAAGTGTATATATGCCACATACCACTCAAACAAGGTTCCCATGGTTCTACTTGACGTCTATTTGTAGTGGATTATTGAATTTGAATGAAATTTATATATAATGGTCGTGAAGAATATAATTAAAAGAGTGCCGGTAAAGTCTAATGCTGCCATTAAATCCAGAACTGTAAGGTGCATTAGTTCAGATGCAAAGACTTTGACACATCCAATTGATAATTCTTCTAAAGTATTGAGGCATTTGCAATTTACAAAACGTATTGATTATGAGAAGGGTCTTGCTTTCCAAGAACAATTTGTTAGGGCTCAGTTGGATATGAAATCGCTACAATCTACAATTAAACAGAAATTGATTCAATTGGAGGTTGATCACCCTGGTTCTTCTATAAACGCATATGAGAAGAAGATACTGGATAATATTCTAGAGATGAAGCCTAACCCTGTCATTTTGACTTTCGAATTTGATCCAGTCTACACTGGTGGTAAACGTACTAAGAAGAAGATAACTCAGGCAGAAATAGAAGGATACAGTAATTTTGTTCCAGAGGTTCAAAAGAGCAATCCTAAACCAAAATTTGTTCAAGCTGAGAGGGGTGGACAAGTTACATTCCATGGCCCTGGTCAAATGGTTGCTTATATTATTTTAGATTTAAAGTCATTTGATAGATTTGTAGCAAGAAATCATGTAGCTGCAATTGAAAAGGCAACTGTTAATACGTTATTAAATACTAAATTGAAAGATGGGAAGGAAACTAAGTTGGACTTGACCTCTAAAATCAATTGTAACACAGGTGTTTGGTCTTCCGACGACAAGAAACTTGCAAGTATCGGTGTCCATGTCAGAAGGTCTATCACTTCTCATGGTGTATGCATAAACGTTTCACCAGACTTATCATACTTGAATACATTTGAAATGTGTGGATTACCTACGTCAAAGGCAAGTTCAATTGCTAGTGAGAAACCAGATGCCGACGTGAATGTTCAAGATGTTGCTGTTAGCTATGTCAATGAATTTGCAAAATTGCTTGGAATAGACACAGTTGAAAGAATTGAACTTGAAAACTTAGAGATTGATTGATTAGATCCTGTTTAAGTATTAAAATCAGTAGCATTGATACTGAATGTCAACTATTACATTTGATGTATATATACATATACTATAAAAACTATCCTGTATATATTATTCGTCTAATATTTTATGCATTTTTTAATTCATTAATTTTATTTACTCTTCTTTGATCAAAAGATATTTAGTCATCATTGGTGGAATTATAATATTAATTGAATATAGCTGATTCATTATTGTATAGATTGTGTTGATAAATTCAATGCATATGCAACTAGTCCCACAAATACTGCACTAGCTATTAGCATGGAATTTGTTTTCCAGTTCCAACTGTCATTACTAGTATTTGAAGCGCCATACCTTGCTCTCCTGTTATTGTCTTTAGAAGATGATTTTACGTCAGAATAACTTGATGATTTATAGTCTTTATCACGAGTGAGGATTTTTCTTCTATACGACTCATTTTGACTTCTCTCCTCATATAACTTTTGTTTCAGATTCTGCAATTCTGAGTCAAGCTTCTGTACTTTGTCTTCCTGTTCTTTCTCCTTCTTAGATAAAGATCTTGCCATTTTAACATTGTCGTTTTCCATTTGCTCTAGTAGATGTTTTTGTTCATTAATTACTTTATTATTCTTATCAGTTAACCTTCTAAGGAGAGCAGTCTGTAAAGTATGCAATTGTTTATCATTTTTGTCTGAAAGCTTTCTATCAATATCACCTAAATTTGCTGTATAGTTGACCAAAAAATTTTCCATCGACTTTAACTTCTCATTTTCCCCTCTCTCGAGGGCAATTTCACTTGCTAACATTTTCATCACGTTTATTAAATTTGGACTTGTCCCCAATGAATTATTCATGAATATACCACTTAAAATTTCTGTCTCAGAACCAAGTATATTGTCCTCTAAATCTACATTGTTAACGTCACCAAACATAGCAGCTTCAAAAGCAGCTCTCTGTGCTGATAAAGTTGGAACGGAGGAAGAATTCTTATCCTTCCCTCCAAATAAATTGTTTTGTCTCTTGTAGAATGAAGAGGAACTTTCATCCATGGAATTATTAATGCTACTGCTGTTACTTCCGTTATTTAAATTGTTGTTTTGATCAGGCCCGCTGCTCTTAAATAAGGTATGGTTGCCCAACAAGTCAACGGTTTCATTAATTAATGGAATTACGGATATATCTTCAACCAAAGCGCTGATTCTTCTATGTTCTAATTTTGAGTCTATATCTGTCCCTAAATCTATTACATCGCCAACTTTTAACTCTACATCCGACTGGCCAATTCTTGTACCATTGATGAATGTACCGTTACTTGACTTTAAATCATGTATATAAATCTTCCCATTTGAGCCATCGCAGCATAATGCTGCATGGTTCCGTGATAGCACTCTTGAATTAAAGTTACCATTGTCAGATCTAACCTGAGGAGCATTAGGCTGTTGATAGTTCCCTGAATATTCTGGAGCCTTGTTGTTTGTACTATTAACCACAGGTCTCCCCAGCTTCAAAACATCAGGTTTGAAAGGAATCACAAGAAACTTGGTTTCAAAAGTCCCATTCAAAGATTTCAAAATCAAAATGTGAGTATACTTGTCCCTCGATTTATGTGATGTTAAAGGGCGCAACTGTTCCTTAATTGCCTCTGAAGAGTCCTTAATGGACTCTGGAGAAAACGATTCCACAGGCTCTGTAGAAGTTGATCCTGCACTCCTCGAATTAGATCTAGTCCTCCTTCTCACAGGCTGAACAGGTGACGACTCTTCAGCCTTAACCGAGTCAGTGGCTCCAACAGGCACAGAAGGAAGAACCCCATTCTGGTATGGCGGTCTTCGCCAGTTCTTCTCAGCAACCTCAGCCATGCCTAAACAAAATACAAGCTTAGCCGACTGCTTTCCACACTAAACTAGAGGTAGATACCAAAAATACAAAACCTATCGCAATCCTTCTAAACTTAGGTTACAAATTGAACTGGGAACACTAGATGGATAACCTCCTCTCGCCCTCAATTCAAAACTCAACCAATTTTCAACCTGGAAAACTCAAACTTCAAAACGTTTCCACAAACTAGCCAACAAAATAAACAATATCACACCAAATATACAACAACAGCAACCTCTGATCTCCTATTCTTCTCGAACTTGTCCATCTCTTATGACATATTAAATATTATATCAATTTTTTAATAACCTCGAAATATCAAAATCCGAGCCTTTAAAAATATCCAAAGTTGTTTTGGATATTTGATACTTAAACAACATGATTCAAGTAGATTAAAGTGGGTTAAGGTACTCAGGACAAAGATCTAGAGGGTATTTATCAATTTCTACAGAGGTTATTTTGTTATTATGTCTGAATATTTAGAGCAGAGCGTTGATTCGTTGAGTTCAGCTATTGTTATGATGCAACGATCGATTGAAAAATTGAAAAGAGAAGGTGAAGCTAATAATAGTCTTACTGGGAGCGTTTTGCAGTCCAAGAGGGTATTTGAATTGATATCTGGGTATGATGTTGATCGGGCTAAGTTGGCTAAGAGTGAAGAGGTCGATCCGTTGGTTAGGACTCTTAACGACAAGCTTGATAAATCGTTGGGTAAATTGCAAAGGGAATTGGATACTCTACAGCAGACCTATGAACTGAATAAGTTGAGATTGAATAATAACAGTGCTGGTTCTATGGATGTGGATGTTAGTACCGATATGGTTATTATGGCGTCTTCTACTAATGAGGAGCTGGAAGAATTGAAAGAATTGAAATTAACGAGGGAAGCATTGCAAAGACAGTTACAAGAGCTACAGGATGAGGGTTTATGAATTTGAGAAGAGGAAATAAATTGTATGATTGTTCGTTACTTCTATATTCGTATATACCTTAAATGCAAGCTGGGATTTGGGTATTCTTCTCTTTGTGTTGTTGCGGTTGAGGACGCTGTGATAGTTTTATCCATATTCTCTTTCCCAGCATTGTTCACTTGTCAGCCGTTTCACGACGTTAGATTAGAATAGTGGTTCCCAATACTGTTTTCCAAGCTGTTCAGTTTCGAGCATAAACTGATCAATGAAGGGTCGCTGGTCGTCACGACTAGCTTTTCGCATTCCATGACAACCTTGTTGTCAAACGTAACACAGCGGTTAAGATAGTTTTGTGCTTGCACTAACGTCGTCCTTTCCGTGTTGAATGTCGACATCATTATATTGTTGAATATTGAAGGTTCCTCTATCTGGATCCCAAAGTCCTTGAGCACGTTCGCTAGGTTTAAACCTCTGTCGCTCTTCAATTTGTCTTTGATCTGATCAGTAATTGACTTACCCGTGTCGGGATCTATTTCATTCCATGGTTTCTTCATCACTTTAAGCAGGTTTCTAAACTCAATGCTTATTTCGTTTTTAAATAACATCAATTCGAGAGAAACTAAATGACTATTAGATTCGCAAAGAGTCTGGTAATCCTGGAACATCTCTTTCATCGCGAGATTGTTATTACCTGGGAACGACAATTCCTTAGAAGGGTTTTGTAGTAAGTTTATAGATTTTGTAAGATAGGTCAAACCCTGTTCCAATTTTGTATTAAATTTAGCTGTATCTTTAACCATTTCTAATTCTTCTAACAGTACTAACAGTGCTTGTAAATTATCATTTAGTGTGTGTATCTGCTTCAACGAAAATTTAGAACCAGAGTTCATTCTATAAACGACTTGCTTGCCCTTGTGAAACTCGGGAAACCGTAGTATAACTTGGAAGTCCAAAATATAACCCGCTTGTCTAGTTATGACACCTTTAATTGAAGGTTTATCACTAGTGTCATTACCACCACTGCTAATTGGCATCTTGAAAACTTGATTAGCATTAAGCATCTCGATACACTTCTCGACATTATCAATGATATTTGGTAGCTCTGGCTTGATGATCTCCTCGATTATCCATTTCTTTTCAACCTCCTTATCCTTTTCGAAGTCATATTGAGTCTTGTCACCAAAATAATCATTAGGATACAATTTCGTTGTCATGTTCTTTTAAGTACTAGTCCAATTTCTACACTTCAAACTCACACTACAATAAACACAATCAATTCAGATGTCTACTATACCCAATTGTAGCCCACTCTGAACTCTCCTGGTTACTCCATTTACAATTCCCTTTTATCTTAAAATCATCCATTATTTCATCATCAATTTGAATATCAATTTTTTAAAGCTCTTAAATATTAAAAATATTGATACTTTCTGACTATTTAACATACAACACACGAGGAATGGAGATGAGAAAAGAGCAAGTTCAGTGAGGAACAAGGTGTTTAGAGTGCTTTTGAATTGGTCCTAGTGGTTTATAAGTTTATTGCAAGATGTTGTCTCGAATTTCTAGCGTTCGAATTGGTACTCAGGTGAGGCAGTTGGCAAATCCGGTTGTAAACCAATCATCGCAAGTATTACAAACACGTCAATTTTATGTTGCAGCTGCATTGACTGTTGGTAGTATGATATTTGGGAAGCAGAACAAGCTAGCTGATTCTATTGCCAATGGTGAGGTACATGACAAGACCGTTGATTATGAAGCTAGGCATCAGGAAGCTTTGGAGAAGCGTTTAAAGACTTTGACTGATACGAGGCCTATGAAACCAAGATATGAAGGTCATATTCCTTTGAATCTACATGAAAAGTTACTATTGTTTGTTATATCAGGAATTCGTTCTTATTATCATCCGGAGAATGGTGTCAATATAGTTCAATTGGGTGAAGCAACTGCTTTACCCTTTATATTAGAAGATTTGAAAAAGACTATGCTATCTGATGAAACCGGTAGAAGAATCTTAAGGGAGAAACCAAACGTTCGTACTGAAACCTTAGATATGGATAAGTTATCTAAGATGCCAAAAAATACGTTTGGTTACACTTTCTACAGTTGGTTGAAGAAAGAAGGTGTTTCTCCTGATACAAGAGCACCTGTTAAATATATAGATGATCCGGATCATGCTTTTATTTTCAAGAGGTACAGACAGTGTCACGACTTTTATCATTCGTTAAACGACTTGCCAATTATTATTGAAGGTGAAATTGCTGTGAAGGCACTAGAAGCCGCCAACATGGGTATTCCGATGGCAGCCTTGGGTACCCTATTGGCTCCACTACGTTTGAAATCTGCACAGAGACAAAGGCTATACGAAATATATTTACCATGGGCTATTAGAACTGGTTTGAGTTGCAAACCATTGATCAATGTTTATTGGGAAGAATTATTGGATAAAGATGTTAATGAATTGAGAAAAGAACTGGGTATTACTCCTCCACCAGATTTGAGAAAGATAAGAAAGGAGAGAGCTGCTTTAAGAAAAAAGTTCAAAATGAAATATGAAAGTTATGAGAAACAATAGATCAATAGATGAATTGGTGTTTCTCTTAAGATATGTTTTTACGACTAGAAAATGTTACAAATTTGCCAGACTACAATTAGAACTGATGAAAAACTGTAAATAGCTTTTATAAATTATAGTTTGCGTGCTTAATGTTTAGATATAAATATCTCTAATATATTTTTATGCTATTAGACTTGAGATAAGTGTCATTTAAGATAACTTTACGTAGATAACAATTGAATTTTTATCGTTAAGGATCGATTGGATATTCATTGGTCCAGTTTCCTAGTTCCAATCCTTTATTCTAGTCATTACTCAATTTTGAAGTTCGCAATTTCACATTTTGTTAACTTCCGGTGAAAACGAACTCACAAGACAAAAATATAAATTTATTGAAGAAGATTTTAATTCATAAATGTGCTTTACAATCATGAAATATCAGAATACATCGTGCAACTAATTACCAACATCTCACAAGTAGATATCAAGATACTACAATTCTAAAATCCCAAAAATGTACTTGCCATAAATAAATTCTGCAGTGTTGACTCATTTCCTTATTCATGATAGTCATGCTAAAAACCCTGTTCAAAATCTTATCAATGGAACCTTAATCTTGATCGAGAAGATAAGATATCCCAATAATTAATACACAACTTATCGACCATTCAAACTGTAATGTGGTCTGTGAATAAAAATGACAACATTTTTAAAGATTTGAAGGTAATAGACCTCCCTCTCCCGCCTCCTCATTCGAGGTAACCACCTGTTCAGGACGAGGGAGGCATTTGAACCCATTCAATCATGATGTCCAAAATCTTGCTAACTACGGAGTAATATCCCAAGAAGAGTAATAATTACAATCGACTACCAAGTTAATTTAATAGAATCCTAACTATTAATATCGTTAAGATGTTGCATTAACTTAACTTGGTTATGAACAACCAATTGCGGTAAAATTGATCTCTGGCAGCAAGAGTTTATATCCCAAGTCGGTTCATCCGTCTTTCTTTTGAGGTTAGCAGTACATGTAATTGGTGGATATCAATTTATCATTATTTCACTTCGTTTCATTCTTACTGAATGTTTGTTAAAGGGTTAAACCATTTGCATCATCACATCGGTAGTGTCTACCACCAGTTAACATTCCTTTAAAGGTTCCCTTGTTCGAAAGAGTGATAAACTTGATAGTGTAGCTAGTTTCGAAACCTGACAATGATATAAAGAGTTATCTATCCTTTGCAACAGGAGCAAGTTCAAGATTATATATTTCTGTAAACTATATTTAAATTTATATTTAAACTTGGGTTTAGCTTTATATCTATATCCATTTATATTTGGTTATATAAAGAAGTATAATATACATCTTAATATAAAACCGAGTCCCTCCCTTGTATGTATAGGGAAAAGATGTCAGTTTGTCAAAAGTACTATCCAAATGAACCCAAGGAACCTGTTGTTGTAACTGATAAGGTTCCTGGTCCTAAATCAGTTTCTGAATTGAAGAAATTAGGTGAAGTTTTCGATGTAAGACCATCGTATTTCATGGCTGACTATGAAAATTCAATTGGTAACTATATTGCTGATGTTGATGGGAATTTATTTCTAGATTTATATGCACAGATTTCTTCTATTGCATTGGGTTATAACAATCCTGCTTTAATCAAAGCTGCGTCTTCTCCAGAGATGATTCGGTCACTTGTTGATCGTCCAGCTTCTGGTAATTTCCCATCTGCTGAACTACACAGTCAGATATCAAAACTTTTGGAATACGCACCAGTTGGTCAGGATAAAGTATGGTCTGGTGTCAATGGTTCAGATGCAAATGAACTTGCTTTTAAAGCCGCTTTTATGTATTATAAGGCAAAGGAAAGAAACTTCAGTGCTGATTTTACCGAAGATGAATTGACGTCAGTGATGGAAAATAAACCTCCAGGTGCTCCAAAGTTAGCTGTATTGTCATTCAAGAGAGCATTCCATGGCAGATTATTTGCAACTGCTTCCGTTACTTGTTCCAAGCCAATCCATAAGCTTGATATACCAGCATTCCATTGGCCTCATGCCGAATTCCCTGCTTATAAGTATCCATTGGACAAGAATGAGAAATATAATAGGAATGAAGATATACGTTGTTTGGAAAATGTCGAAAAAATCATCAAGACTTGGCATATGCCAGTTGCTGCCCTTTTGATTGAACCTATTCAATCTGAAGGTGGTGATAACCATGCGTCAGCATTTTTTTTACAATCCTTGAGAACATTGACTTTGGAGAATAATGTTGTCTATATCATAGATGAAGTTCAAACAGGTGTCGGTGCGACAGGAAAGATGTGGTGCCATGAACATGCTAATATCAAACCTCCACCCGATTTGGTTACTTTCTCCAAGAAGTTCCAAAGTGCTGGCTATTATTTCCACGACCCAGAGTTTATTCCAAGCAAGCCATATAGACAGTTTAATACTTGGTGTGGTGACCCTAGCAGAATGATCATTGCTGGTGCCATTGGTGATGAAATCACATCTAACAAGTTGGTTGAACAATGTGCTGCAGTAGGTAAGTTCCTGTTCAGCAAATTGGAGGAATTACAGGAGATGTATCCCCAGTACATGCAAAACCTGAGAGGTAAGAATAGAGGAACTTTTATTGCTTGGGATTTAGATGACGAAGAGACTAGGACACAGTTGTTGTACAAGCTAAAATTGAATGGTTGCAATGTTGGGGGTTGCGCCGAGAGGTCAGTGAGATTAAGACCATCATTGACGTTTGACAAGAAACATGCTGACATATTTATCTCGGCGTTGGAGAAGTCACTTTCCCAAATGGAATAGGTTGTGAATCTAAATGACACACAGTGCTGTTTAATCAACAAGTAGATGTATATTTGAAGAATGGACAGAAACAGTAAGGCAAAAAATAAAAAATGGGAAGAATAAAAAGAATTGAATTGAACATTAAATTTCGTTTATTGTACAGATAGACCGAGTGCTGTTTTTTTTTTCAATTTTATATATTATAATAGTTAATTAATTAATTTTTAAAAGTTTAAACATATTATTCCCCGAATAATCTTCTCACTCTCTTCAATACGGAATCCTTTTCAGGATCATAAGGATGATCTTTAGAAGGTATTTCTAAGATGGCGGGAAATGCATTAGTGTAGTTATCTATATCGCTTCTAATTTTTTCTGCGATGTGTTGGTTTATCAACAGAATAGCGATGTCTTGTCTCTCTTGAGTGTAATTGATGAAATTATTTAAAATTTGTTCCTTTGTAGTTTTACCATCTTCGTAGATGAAGAAATTTTTTTCGTTAGTCTCTTTAGTGATTTGGCCAATACCAGCTAGCAATAAACCGGTAGTTGTGTCTTCATCGCCGATGACTGCGATCAGAGTACGTTTGTCTACAGACATGACTTAATTGTTGCTTATTTAGACGATTAGCAGGCAGAAACAGAAAAGAAAGAAGTAGGACTGGGGATATATGTATGGGTGATCACCAGAAGTGGTGGAGAAGTGGAATAAGAAGGTTGAGGTTGAGATATAGTGCCTATCAATTGAGCAGTGATTCAAAATATTTTTTAAGGTAGTAAGCATTAGGGTATTAGCAGCTGAGCTTTGCTATCTGAATTTTGGTTGAATCTTTAATTTTTCATGGTTTCGTTCGTTACCAAGCAGCGCACATCACTGGATACGAACTACGTCTGTAATGACGACATATGGTCACGATCACGATCAGCTTGTGTTACCCGGACATTGGTGAAACCGAGTAAGCCAAACCGGGAGAGTCCAGCTGGGTGCATCACGACGAACGGGGCATGGTCTGATCTGTCACATGGTCTGACCACTGCCGAACCAACCAACCGGACAAAGCACAAGCAAAGGCAACAGCACAGGAAAAAGAAAAGAAGTAAACAAGTAAACAACAACCACAAACAAACAAACAAACAAACCACAAAGACAAGTTTTTCGCGTTCTGGCGTCTCGAGCGTCCTACGCTTATCGCTGAGCCCAATTGCTCTCCTATTGCCTGCTTCTGCGCCCCTTCCCTCCCCGACCCCTGCGGGCGTCCCGTTCCTCGCAAAATACTGGCACACACAGCACTTCACACAGAAAAAAGGAAAGGGGCAGACACACACACACACAGAGAACGCTGCGCTCTGTTCTTCTCTCACACTCTTCCCAAGGTTGCTAAATTTAGCAACAATATCTCCCGAAATGCACAAAAACCCAAAAAACAAAATTTTAAATTTTGTCGTCATTCCCTTCTTCTCCGCTGTTTTCACAAAGCTTTTTCACTTCGCTTTTGTGTCTCTGCTCTGCTCCCACCCCCTTCTGGCCCGTAGCCGGAAAACATCCCAGATCTGGTAATAAACAATCGTGCCACAGACCGCACTCACACACTCACTCACTCACAAACCAACTCTCTCTGTGTTCTATCTTTGGGAAACAAAGATTCGGCTCTCCTAACTGCTTTTTGCTGGTTACGTATGCCATTTTTATCTTCACATACATATCTTAAAACAGCCTTCAGGTCAGGCTCATCGAGAGGTACTTCGATCCATATCTTCGCTTTTCCTTGGTTTGATTTCGATTTCATCTTTGCAATACAATACAATACATACATACATACAATACTCTAAACTGCCATACCTCTCGAAGAATTTTATGCTATGTCGGGAAATACTGGGAGCTCTCATCCTCCCATTGATTTGGCTTGGTACACCATCCTATCCTTTCTATCCCTCCATCGGATTTTTTGTTTTAGCTTTTATTTCATTTTATTTTTTTTCCCTTCACCTTACCATCCATGTCTTGATTTATTGCAATCTCACCACATACCACCACTTTTACAATATCCTTTCTTCGATTTATGCTGGATCATAAATTTCAAATTTTTAAACTTCAACTTGAACTCGAACTTGAAATTTAATTTAATTCAAATCAATCCAATTCACATAAAACTACCCAACACTTGGACTTTAGATTTATATACTCATCTCTGCTCCACACCCATCCATCCCACAGGTCAATAACATACCATTACCCACTTCCTCATCACACAGCTCCCATATCTCGAAAGG